TATATAGTATAACTGCAGAGTGATAGTTACATAATATTGCTTTAACTGCAGAGTGATTGTAGTATAACACTGTTTTCTCTGTAGAGTACTGTTAACACAATATTTGCTTTAATTGCAGGGTGATAGTGGTGGACCTATGGTCTGTAATGGTTATTTAGCTGGTGTTACATCATGGGGTGCATCCGGTTGTCCTGGCACATACCCCAGTGTTTATACCCGTGTATCTGAATATCTTAGCTGGATCGCTTCTATTTAATTATGTTGTTAGCTGGGAAGCCTCTATTTAATATGTAAATTGGTATTTATCGTGTACCTGTACAACATACAATAAAATGATATAAATTTACTCTCTCTCTGTTTAATTCTAAAATGTTAATGTAAAAGTATTCTATGAAACATATTGATTAATATTAATATTCTATATTGGCGGCAATACAATATATAGGTCACACTGTGGCTATCATCTGATGGTTAAAAATAGGTTATTGTCTAATGGCTAAGAAAAGACAACCGTCTGATAGTCAAGCTGAAGTTATTGTCTTATTTTCAAAAAGAGGCAATATCTATCAATCGGTTTAATTTACGACCAGATAACTATTCGTTCTAACATTATGTCAATGATATAAACACAAACACATAATATGGAACACAATTACTATTTTAATTAATGTTTTGTTGAGGGTACTCTCAACGTTACCAAGCAACATTAACATTTGCTAACTGGACGGCAAAGTAATTATAAATGGTAAATTTTCAAATATCAGTGTAATTAATTTCGGTGTGCCCCAAGGATCCGTGCTAGGACTAATATTTCATAGAAATGAAATGAAATGGGATTTAACGTCCCACTGCTCTGCTCCTGTAGTGGGCTAATGAGGACGAGCATACCCCAAACAGTGTGCTATGAGGGAAATTTGGCCGGGTAGCGCCACTGACAAGGGGAAACCACGTCGGAAAATCCTACCTCTAGGCCACCGTGTTTCGGCAATATTTCATAGAGAAACCAATCAAGTGTTGAATATGATGTAATGAATGATGTAATGTAATGCACCAACAAATCTGATCCACTTAAAGTAGCCAAACCCTCTCCCTTATTGTTTGGGGCGTGAAACCAGATCGATGAGCACATATTAATGTAATATGAATGTATATAAACCGATTTACATTCATTGTGTTAATGTTTAGTCCAATCTACAATTCTGTATGGATCAGCCATTTTTAATTATGTTTTGATTTGCAACTGTAAATGGCGCTCGAGATCATCGAAATGAATTTTTAAAAAATCATTGTGTATTAAATATTGGATATCCGGAGCCGATATTATCAATTCAAGATAAAATCAATATTGATTTAATTGGACCAATATTGAAGTCTAATTCGTCGACGATTATTGATAATACTAAGTTGGGGGTTTGGTCGATTTAAAGCAAAATAGAAACATTTGCCCGAAACGTCTGCAGCTCAAAACATACCAGATGCAACTCTGATATGATTGTTATATAAACCGGTTTAGACGTCAACAGCGCTAGAATATTTGAGATACCCCGGGAACTTCCATGTTTTTCATTAAAGAAAATAGTTTTGTAGATGTTGATGTTGGAAGTCTGTGCTTTTAGATGGCACGGTCTCTGTAGAGTTTCGCATAGTGTCAATGCAATCATGGGCTTGACCGAGAGGTCTAACGCGCACTTTAGAATATAATGTCTGTTATTCAGTCACCGTGGCTTCGAACCGGGGTATTTAAGCGAAAAGGAGCAGGTTCGCCTTCCTAACACAGTGTCTTCAGTTTACCTCTTAGTGGTAACAATCCCTACTCACAAACAAATTATTGAGTTAAAGATATTCCCGAGATGTGTTAATTCATGATATTAGACGTTAAACTCCATTAATATTGATATTGTCTTAAAATCTGAATGAATTAGTGGATATGGCGCTGTCTCACCAACCAGGGCCCGGGTTCGATCAAACTAATAAAACCGAATGATTTTAAGAAATAAGAATACAACACGACAGATTAGAGACGTTGTGCCTTTTAAAAATATTGAATGAATAATGAAGACGGGCATTCGTCATGCAGTCACATTTCAACTGACAAGGGTTTTTTTCTCGGCCAACACAAGGATCGAACATGCGACCTCCTGGTTAGTGAGGCAGTGCATCACCCACTGGTTCAACATAAGAGCAACCCATCCTTATTTCGAAACAAAAAACCAAAACAAAACAATCAACGTAACCAGAAAACATTTCGTTAGCGTAATTGCTTGTCATATATCTACAGAAAGCTTCTCAAAACCTTATTCAACCAATTAACTATAAATCAAAAACCGTAAAAAAACATTCTTATTTTTGTCTAAAATTGACAAGTCAATGGTGCATTTTATTTAACAAATTCACAACGTATTTACTCTTACTTACATAATAGTTATTTACATTATAGTTATTTTACATTGACAATATTAATATTAGGACTTTTGATGTCAAATGTATTTTACATTATCAATATTGATATAGAATTTTGATATTAAAGGTATTTTACATTATCAATATTGATATTAGGAGGTTTCACATAAAAGGTATTTTACATTTAATCACTAAACATTTTAGCAGAGCATGAAATACTGACATCGATAAAATTGCTTTTTAAAACCATATGTTATTTTCCTTGGTCGAATTATAATAAGCAGTAAGTCTATAATAAGTTTCAGGCATACTCAGTTGATTATGGATCATGGTTGATTATGTGAAACACTAGGAAGAGGTTATAGAAACTCAACCAGAATTACAAGAACAGCAGCGTCTAGTCGTTGGGATGAGACGAAAAACCGAAGTCCCATGTACACATTGGCGTGCACGTAAAAGATCCCTTGGCAGTTGGAATTCGAAATAAGAGTGCAGCTTCGTGACTAGCAACTAAACGTGTCTATTCCCTCGGATAGGAAGAAAAACTGAGGTCCTGTCCACAAATTGGCGCGCAAATAAAAGAACCCTTGGCAATTGGAATTTGTTGAAGAATAGTCCGAAACTCTGCTGCATGGCATTTGCCCGTATTCATTGCTCGTAAGTGCAGAACTCCAATTCATTTATTACTTATTAACATTAGCGTGGAAATGTAGTAACATACAGATCACCGGTGTCCCTATGCGTGTTTCTGCGACTCTTAACCCCACACTCACGGTGTGTTTGATTACTATGAATCCCAATCTTGAGTGTTTCAGGAACCTGGTTTTCGACTACATGTAGGTTAATCTGATTCATCCCGGCGGCGTGTTTTTGTCTGAGGACTATCTTCCTTTAGCTGAGGGTTAGTCACATTCTAGAGTTGGATTCCCAGCAATCAAACTCATCTGTATTACATCTCATATTTTCTAACATACCATATTTGAACTGTATTAAAGCTCAAACGTTAATATAGGTTCCAAAATATATTTGACCTTTATTAAAACTCAAACGTTAATACAAGTTCGAACATCTATTTGAACTGTATTAAAACAGTTATAACATACATGTACCATATTGGGACTTTATTAAAACTCAAAAGTTAATACAGGTTCTAACCAACTCATATTTGAACTCAAACGTTAAATGGCGTATAGTATAGCTCTATTCTTTGAAACCTTAAAATAGACAAAAATAGTTCTAGACGTAATATTTTAATATTAATATAATATGAATGTATATGAAGTGATTTATATTTAAATTTTAAATTTCTATTGTAATTTATAATCGTTTCCGCCTGCTTGGTCCATTCTACACTTTTTTTAAAAATTATTTTGTCGTCTTTGAACCATCCATTACTCCCGCATTGCCTTGTAGGATATTTTTTTGGTTAATTGCAAATTGTACCCGAAACCATAGTGTACACGACTCGTGTACAGATGTTAAAATGTTCATTGTGTCATTAATATTGGATATTAGAATCCTATATTTTCATTGCAAGATAACAACATTAATGTTGGTTGAAATGGACCAGGGGGGGTGGATAGTCGAATGGTTAGCACGTGCGTGCTGTATCATAAGGTTTGTCATTCAGCCACCTGGCGTGGTTTTGATTCTCCGGCTGTACGTGACAAGAAGTAGGGTCGTCTGCCCATCCTCGTGGGATTTCTCCGGATCCCCCGGTTTCCTCCCACTGCTAAAGACCTCTATGCGCAACCAAATTATTGAAATACCGTAGAGCCGTGTTTTTAATTGCGAATATTATGGAAAATAGTGAGATAGGGGTTTAGCACCTTTAAAATAGGTTGGAACATAAAATAATTAAACTGTATTAAAACTCAAACGTTAATACAGGTTCCAAACAACATATATTGAACTGTATTACTCAAACGTTAAATAGGTTCGCGCATACCATAATTGAACTGTATTAAAACTCAAACGTTAAAATGGGTTCGTACATACCATGTTAAAAGGTTCCGAAATACCATATTTGAACTGTATCTAATAGTTTAAAGACTAGGATCGTCTGTCCAACCTAATAGGTTTTCTCTGGATCCTCCGGTTTTCTCCAACAGACCCTACGCCATACCGAATTACTGAACCGAATTACTGAAATAAAACATGAAACCATATCTTAGTCACGAAATGACCTCGTTTGTGTCTAGCGACCCATAAGCCCAATATCTCTCTCTCTTGACTAGTCAATAAAATAATGGCTACATAAGGCACTTGTATGTGTATATGATACCAATAATTAAATAGTCATCATCGCTGAATCTGTATGAAAGGCGACAGTTGTTGATATCCCATGCTATAAAACAGTAAAATCATTTAAGTTTAGATCGTTTGTTTATATATTCATATAAATATAAAAATTAGTGTTATCCTTCTGACCTTTTCTCATATATGAAGTATCATTCAGTATAATATCTTTGTTGTAAATTACTCTATGGAAGACTCTTCAACATGATCTGTACAGTATATAAGACACCCGTTGATAGATGAGAAGTCGTCATCATCTGTACACAGACTGAGATACCATTCTTCAAGATGCAAATCCTTTTATGTATCTTTGCTTTGGCTGGTGAGTTGTGGTTTTATTTTGTTAAAAGAAGGCTGTAAGGGTACACGGAAGGTTGGCTGGTTAGGCCTGTAACCATATGGCTGGTATGATCGACACTTATTTTGGCTGTGTCAAATGGTTGTATTCTTACACATGACACCGTGTGCTTACCCCCCCCCCCCTTATACCAAGCAATAAATGAGTACCGGTAAAATTTGCAAGGCACAATATAAAACATTCTCCCGAATATGCCCCAAATCGACATTACTCTCCTCAAACCTTGATATGGCGGGATATAAAGTTAATTCTTTCTATATTATTATGTTTCAGGAATTGCCTCCAGTGAATTATCACAAAGAATTGTTAACGGAGCTAACGCCTATGCTGGACAGTTCCCATGGCAAGTGTCTCTCCAGAGAAGTTCTGGTAGCAGCTGGTCTCATATCTGTGGTGGAAGTTTGATCGCCAACAACCGAGTTTTAACAGCTGCTCATTGTGTTACTGCAACCAGGTTTAATTTATTTCTATAAATTATCTTCAAATCCCATCCAAATATTATACGTTAAAGCCAATAATCGGCATGTAAAGTAATTAAATTGATTATTTAATATATAAAGAAGAGAACAAAATCAAACATCAAAGGAGATAATCTCCGTGTAATGATTCAGTCGAATTAAAATGGGACCCATCAAAGCATTTCCACGAAAAGTATAAGTGACTCTTGTTTTCATGTTGACATCTTTTTAAATACTGAACGAGAAAGGATAATTTTCAGAGTCTTTTTCCTTTCACAATATCGTAGTTGGTAAATCCCTCAAATTACAACGTGTTACAATTAAGGGGAATATTAGCTTTCATGCTAATAACATCGTAACCATAGAAGCCTAAATATGAACAAACTACCGCCTTTTACAATTCATTTTCAAACCGATTGGCGTCAGTTTTTTTAAACACTTTTTGCTAGATTTCGCGGTAAATTAGTGATCACTCTTCACTTTTTCCTAACTTTCAGATTTTTTTTTATTTCTAACTATTTTTAATAATCTTACCCAGCTATTAACTGACCCTGTGTTAATTTCATGTTTTCAGTCCCGGATTATACCGAGTTGTTCTTGGTGAACACAGATTAAACAACAATGATGGTACAGAACAGACTATCTACATCAGTTCTATTGTAAACGTAAGTAATTTTATAATTGATTATAACAAAAGTTGCTCCGTAAAACTCTTAAAATGAGTAGTGATATCAGGTCGTTGAGCATAATACACGTGACCGGTTAGAGTTACAAAAAATATCAATTTATAATTTACCATGATAATTTATAGCATCCCAACTACAATGGTAATGCCAATGGATATCCTAACGATATTTCTGTTATGAGACTTTCATCCAATGCCAATACCGGAAGTTCAGCTGTAAGTACCATCAGCCTCGCTTCCTCTGGATCCAGTTTTGTAGGCCAGAAATGTACCATTAGCGGATGGGGCAGAACATCTGGTACGTATAACTACTTGATTATATATATGCCCATATCTTGGGTTCTAATCGGCTATGTATTATGTTACTAATTGACTAGTTTACTAATTAATTGTGTTATGGGATTTAACTGCCTATCTTATGAGTTACTAATTATGTGTACACAGGTGATTGCTGCCAACTGTCATCATGTTGCCATTTATATTGTCAAGCCCATTCGTTTTTTTAACCACGCTGGCTCAGTGAGTGAGACATTGCCTCGCTAATCTGGCGGCCCTGCGTTCGATCCCTGCTTTGACCTTTTCAATGGTGTAGCATGTGGCCTGGCAAGGGATAATGTATAGTCGTTCGGATGGTACGAAAAACCGAGGTGGCGTGTACACATTGGCGTACACGTTAAAGAACATAATAAGACAGTTGGAATTCGATATAAGAGTAGGCCGTAGTGCTGCTTTCCGGGCACAATATCCCTCATAGCACACGTATGACGTATGCCTCTCTTGATTATCCTTGTCTGTGCAGAACAGTAGGACGCCAAACCTCATTTCTTTAGTTATATTTTGTTGTTTTTTGCCAGGCGGTAGCAGTTTACCAAACACTCTTCAACACGTTGCTATGAATCAAATCTCAAACAGTGACTGTACAGGTTACTGGGGCGGTTCTATCAACAGTGGCCATATCTGTGTTCATGAGCCTAACAAATCAGCCTGTAACGTAAGTTGCTTTTCTAAAATCTTTGCCTTCGTATATCTTCCATGGTAAATACAGTTAAATCAAGATAGATTAAGCTAAATTAAATGTTTTAACTGCAGAGCGTTAGTTGCATAATATTTTGCCTTAACTACAGGGGAATGCAATATATAGTATAACTGCAGAGTGATAATTACATAATATTGCTTTAACTGCAGAGTGATTGTAGTATAACACTGTTTTCTCTGTAGAGTACTGTTAACACAATATTTGCTTTAATTGCAGGGTGATAGTGGTGGACCTATGGTCTGTAATGGTTATTTAGCTGGTGTTACATCATGGGGTGCATCCGGTTGTCCTGGTACATACCCCAGTGTTTATACCCGTGTATCTGAATATCTTAGCTGGATCGCGTCTATTTAATTATGTTGTTACCTACAATAAAATGATATAAATTCACTCTCTCTGTGTTTAATTCTAAAATGTTAATGCAAAAGTATTCTATGAAAAATAATAACACCCTTTCTTGACCAGAACGTCCATAAAGCATATACATATGAATATAAAACGGTTATTTATGAAGAAAATATGATTGGCCGAGACTTTGGAACACAATAACTCTCCTAACTGAGCTAGAATGTTTAAACGTGGTGTAGGTGTTTATTAGGTCAATGCCTTAATGGATTTCGAAGATGAGTATTTTCTGCTTAAAGTATGCAGAGATAAGCAATTTGATTGGTTGATACTTTGGGACACGATAACTTTAGTTCTAATTAGGTGAGAGTGACGACACTTGGCGTATAGCTATTATATCAAAACCTTGACTAAGTTGGATAATGAGCATTTCCTGCTCAGGGTAAGCACAGCGATAAGCAATTTGATTGGCCGAGACTTTGGAACACAATAACTCTCCTAATTGAGCTAGAATGTTCAAACTTGGTGTAGGTGTTTATTAGGCCAATGCCTTGATGGATTTCGAAGATGTGCATTTTCTACTTAGGGTAAGCAGAGATAAGCAAATTGATTGGTTGATGCTTAGGGACACGATAACTTTAGCTTTATAACATCAAAACTTTGACTAAGTTCGATAATGTATATTTTCTGCCGAGTGTAAGCAGAGCGATAAGCAATTTGATTGGTCGAGACATTGGAACACAATAACTCTCCTTCTAATTGAGGTAGAATGTTCAAACTCGGTGTAGGGGTTCATTGGTTGAATGTCTTGATGAACATTGTCTACTTACGGTAAGCAGAGATAAGCAATCTGATTGGTTGATGCTTTGGGACATGATAACTTTGGTTATAATGAAGTGAGAGCGATGAAACTCTGAATAAAGATTCATTATATCATTACCTTGATTACGTTCGATGGTGAGAATTTTCTTAGACTCAGGAGCCATAAGGAATTTGATTGGTCGAGACTTTGGAACATAACAACTCGGCTTTTAATTGAGGTAGAATGTTTAAACTTGATGTTCATTAGGTGAATGTCTTGATTGAGTTCAATGATTAACATATCGAGCTGAAGCTAAGCAGAGCTATTCAATTTCATTGGTCGATAATTTGGGACAAGATAATCTTGATTCTATCTGATAGAGAGTGATGAAACTTAGTGTATCGTTTGATAGCTCGATATACTTTTGAAAAAAATAAATGTACGATTTATTAATATGTGTCATCTATTTATTTTGGGATTTTGGTTCAGGGCATCGGCCTCACTGTTGGCTTGTTTTGTTTAAAATCTGGGGATCACGGTGGCTGATTAGGTAAGACGCTGACTCGCTAGACTGGAGGTCGGGTGTCTTATCCCTGCATTGGCCGAGAAAGTTCATCCCGATTTTCCGGAGTGATGCAGGACGGAGGGCCTGACAAGGACAGCTGTCTAGTCGTTCGGATGGGACGCAGTGTTCTCACTCTCACTTAATTAGAACTAAAGTTATCGTGTCCCAAAGCATCAACCAATCACCTAAGCAGAAAATGCTCATCTTCGACATCCATCAAAGCATTGACCTAATAAACACTCCCCCAAGTTTGAACATTTCAGCTCAATTAGAAAGAGAGTTTCTAGTGAGTGATGGCGGAGTGAAATTTCGCTCTCGACATTTTTTGTTTTCTATCAAAATTAGTTATAAAATAATGAATTAAATGGGAGAAGACATCGCAGATTATGTCTGCAAACTCACAGGGGTGATATTTGGTAAATACATTGTCTACAAAAGCCAACAGATCAAAAGAAAATAACCAGCTCGACAACAAAAGGTAAACCAGAATTTCAACATGGCGACCGGGCGGCATTCTGTTGTTTGGTCACGTTTGTACTATGGGTGTGCTCTGCGATTATTGGCATCGCTCGGTTTCCTTTTGATAATTGGTTTGTTAGAAACGAACCCAGGTCCCGGCCCATCAACAAGACAAGCCAAAATCTCGTCTACTGGGGAACTTGTCACACAGAAGTCAATTGATGATGTCACTGGCAATGAAGAAATCTACTGAGGTACTGAGAACAGAAATGGAGCAACTGAGACATGAAGTCTCGGAAAATCACAAAATAATGAACGAAAAGGTTGAGAAACTCAAGGGTGAAAACCGACTCTTATTAACGAAAGTGCAGTATTTAGAGAACCAAAATAGGAAAAATAACCTAATATTCTGGGGTATAGAAGAGATAAGTGAAACCGAAAGTAAAGAAGACAGTGAGCAGAAAGTTAGGCAATTTTTGGTAAATAAACTAGATATTGAATGTGCTCTGTCTGATGAATCATTACAGATATAAGATGTTTTTAGAATTGGAAAAAAGAAGACTAATGGGACAGGTTTACAGGATATGAGAGATAATGGTGAAATGCAGCAGAAGCCCAGAGGTATCTTAGTTAAATTGAGTAGATACAAACACAAGAGGATAATACAAACAGCTATAAAAGGGAAGAAAGACAGAATTTCTACAGTTAGAATAAGTGAAGATTACAGTTTAGAAGTAAGAGAGGCTAGGAAAGCACTGATGTGCTTTAGTGATGAACTAAAATCAAAAAATCCAGATTGCAAGACACTTTTCCTTTTCGATAGTCTTAAAGTAGGAAGTGATGTTCAGGCCCGGCCCATAGAACTCAACATGTACATACTTTGAAATTTCTTTCGTGGAACATTGGAGGACTACAAAAACTAAAACTTAGACCAGATATAGTGAATGACTTGCATAACTATGACTGTAAAAGTATATTAGAGACCTGGTCAACCTGTGATCAGGGTTGTGAAAGTATTTTCAAGAATTATAAACATTTCAGTAATATAGGGCACACGACCTCCAAATTTGGGAGGACTCCTCAAGGTATCTGTGTATATTTATCTAAATATCTACAGAAATTTGTGAGGAAGGTATATATAAACCACAGCTCATGTGTGATTATTATATTTAGTAAAACATTGTTCAATATAAGTCATGATATATTAGCCTGTTTTGCATATATCCCACCGATCTCGCCTAGCATTTATAGTACATTATATGAACAAAATACAAATGGTATTGAAATATTTGAAGAAATTATCTCTGATATCATCGAAAGTTATGATGAAAATTTAGAAATAATGATAAATGGGGACTTAAATGCAAGGACTGGTAATTTATCTGACCTCTCTAACACGGATGGAGATAAATACCTCCCAATAGGTGACTTAATCCTAGGTGATGATGACTTTGACACACTAAGATACTCCAAGGATGTAAATATTAATAGTTTTGGAAAACAATTAATTGATATGTGTAAAAAATTTGACATTCATATACTTAATGGGTGATTAAAGGGAGACAATCAAGGAGAATACACTTTTGTGTCACATCTAGGCAAAAGTGTGATAGACTATTGCATAACTAGTTCGTTATTATTTCAATATGTAACTGACTTCAGCGTACTGTCAACTGATATTTCAGACCACTTCCCAATAGAATGCATATTTAATGTTTGTAAAAGTTATAAAAAGTCTGATATTGCTAGAGAATGTTTAAGTTCAAAATGGAACTATAAATGGGATCAAAACAAAGCAACAGATTTTAAAGTAGCATTACAGGGAATTATCTCAGTTTTCTATTGTTGTAGAAAACAGTGTAAATGAGGCAACAAAATTTTATGTCAATCAATACAATATGCTGGCAAAAGTATGCTTAGAAACAACAAACCTAAGTATACAAATTGTCAACCTATTTGGTGGACCAGGGAACTGTCTGATTTAAAGGCTTTAAAATATATAAATCTAAATAACTACAGAAAGAGTCGAAAGTCTTTTGACTTAGACATATGCCTACAAACCAAAAATATGTTCAAATCACTTTGTGAAGAACAAAAGCAGAAACTAGATAGAGATAGGATAAATAGTCTTATAGAGATAAAAGATCCAAATGACATGTGGAAAAAATTAAGGTATTTAAAAAAAACCAAAGTCAAATAACAGTATTTCAACTGATCAGTGGTTTGAACATTTTCAAAATCTCTTAACTGAGTATAAAGCATCAAGCGAGTCAGCCTTATGGCAGGAAATCAATCTAACCCTGAGTGACCCCACCGAAGTTGTTTTTGGATATCTTAGATAATCCAATAAGTGACAAGGAAATCGTAAAAGCATTGAATCAGATGAAAACTGGTAAAAGTGGCGGGGAAGATGGTCTTGTAATCGAGATGTTCAAAACCACTATTGACATCTTACTTCCATTGTTATGTTTATTATTCAATAAGATCTTAATTAGTAGTACGTTTCCAGAGAGCTGGAGCAGGGCTGTAATATATCCTATTTATAAGAAGGGTGATGTTACCAACCCATGTAACTATAGAGGCATCTCCTTACTAAATGTAATGGGTAAAATATTTACTAAAGTTATAAATAACAGACTTATAATTTGGGGTGACATTGAAAATAAATTTAAAGAGCAGCAAGCAGGATATGGGCAGGGCTACGCAACAGTTGACAACTGTTTTTCCTTATATGCTGTTGTGCAAAAGTACCTGACAAAAAAAGGGGAGATTATACTGCATCTTTGTTGATTTTTCATCAGCGTTTGACTTAGTACACCACCCCACCTTACTGTATACGCTTATTAAAAATAAGGTCAGCTCTAAAATTGTTAAATTACTGAAATCTATGTATGAAAGTATGAAATCCTGTGTTTTAGCTAATAATGGTCTCTCTGAGTATTTCAGATGCACAATTGGCACAAAACAAGGGTGCATGCTCAGTCCATTTTTATTTGTCATGTTCTTAAACCAATTTGTAGAACTACTAGAGAAATGTGAATGCAAAGGCATTTTTATAGATGCAAGAACGCCGAATTTAATGCAACTGTTATTTGCAGATGATATGGCAAATATCTCAGACACTGTAGGGCAATTACAAAAACAAATTGATGTATTGAATACTTTCTGTAAAGACTATGACAT